CCCGTAACATCCTGTAATCCTAAATATAATGTATAGGGTTAAGCTTTATGTGTGATCCCGGACCCTAGCATGCTTAGTCTCAGGTCTCTGCAGCCTCAAGGATTCAAGGTGTGTACAGAATAACCAAAGCAGTCTGAGTTTCGGTGTTTCGGCTTTATCCTCAACCTAAAACCTAAATCCAAAGACCCTAAACCTTTAATCCCTGACAGTGGGTTGAAGCGACTGGGGTAGAGAGTCAGCTTCTCACAACTCCCAAAGCCGAAACTTCGAAGTCCAATAACCCTAAACCTAAACCTGAACCCTTCAAAACACCTTAACCCCCCAAACCCTGAATTAAGAACCCTAAACCCTGAACCCTGAACCCTAAACCCTAAACCCAAACCCTAAGGAGTGTTGGGCTCTCCGGGTGCCAAAGCCCCCAAAACCCGCTAAACCCCCTAAACCCTAAACCCGTTGCTTGACTGTAGCTGCAAGTCGGGCTCCGAAGTCGCCACGCTTTGCCTGTCAGGTCTAAACATCAGTGTCTCTTCGTCAAGCAGCTAGCTTGGTATTCCATTCTAGATGCAGTCCTATTCAACACTCAGTATGGCTGCCCTAGCACTTGCATCCAATGGGAACCCCCGTCAAGGAGTCTGCTCGAAAGAAGGCTGTGAACGGTTGGTTGATGGGCTGCATCTATACTGCTGTCGTGGCTGCCGAAAGAACAAACGACATAGCAAGAGATGCTCGAGGATCAATGCTGGCATCGTAGCCTTGGAGCCGATTCGACAGTGCACTACCTGTAGCCGAATGGTATTCCCTCCACATATCCACTGCTGCTCCGTCTGCAAAGACATGCCTGGACAGCACAAACCGACATGCTTGCATAGGGCAGAAGCCGCTGCACGCAAGTTCCTGGAGGAAATGGATTGAGATCCGAAGCTTGTCTGTGGTGCCGGAAAAGGAGATGCTACGTTGCTGAGAGCTGCATGACTGTGTTCGCAAGCATTTAGGCACTTAGAGAGTGTTAAGGCAAAGGGAGGGAGAGAGAGAGAGAGAGAGAGAGAGAGAGAGAGAGAGAGAGCGACAAACCACAAGGGACCCCCAAACAAGGCCCAAGCCTCTAAATTTTCCGAAATTTTAGGGACCTGGGCAGTGAGGGAGGGAGGGAGGGAGGGAGAGAGAGAGTGAGAGAGAGACAGACAAACCACCAAACAAGGCCCCAAAACAAGCATCATCAGCATCAGCCGGGCCAGGGAAGAGTGAGTTTGTGTGAGCGAGCAATGCCTGCACCTGCATTCCTGGCTCTGAACGAGTTTTTTCAGGTCCCACCGCTGTTTCTGAGGGTTTTGTCGGGATTTCCTAGGTTTTTCGGTGCTGCACAGGGATTTTGGGGTGCCGGGTGGAGGCGGGAATACCCGTCCAGGCAGCGTCCATACCCGTCCAAACGGCGGGAATAGCCGGGATGGGTGCCCCAGGTGGTAGAGCATCAGCTGTGACCTATCCCGTCCAGTGTTTTGGGCCCGATCTAGGACCTAGTTTTGCTGTGGACCTGCTCTTTTTGAGCCATGGAGGGAGATGAAGAAATGAAAAAGCTTTTGGCCCAGAAGCAGACCGTCTTGGTGCTTTGGATAGAATAGATTCAATTGTGTTGGATGCATTCACGAAGGCTTTTCCATTTAATTGGCTCCCATTGTATCCGGCCCGAGGATAAAATGAAGGCCAAGGGCATCGAGCCAAGCAGCCGCCAGGAGCTATTTCACGAGTTTGTCCTGCTTTGTAAGGCCATAGCGAGCTAAATACGCTTTTGATTGTTTGTCGACAGGATGCTCCGTCACGCGGCACGTCTTGGCACTCCTCCCAGACGGGTTCCCAGCCTCCGTTCTCCTCCGAAACCCCAAGCGATCGGCCCTCGCCTGGCCACCAAACCGTGCCTGACACACTCGTGGAGGACACAGCTCCGGAGAACCAGGAGAAGAACCAGCCCCTTCCAAAGCAAAGCCCGCCAGAGAGCCAGGCCAGCCAGAGCCAGCCACCTGAAAGCCAAAACCCACCAGAAAGCCAGGCCAGCCAGAGCCAGCCCCCGCAAAGCCAAGAACCGCCAGAAAGCCAGGCCACCCAGAGCCAGCCCCCGCAAAGCCAAAAACCGCCAGAAAGCCAGGCCACCCAGAGCCAGCCCCCGCATAGCCAAAAACCGCCAGAAAGCCAGGCCAGCCAGAGCCAGCCCCCGCAAAGCCAAAAACCGCCAGAAAGCCAGGCCAGCCAGCCGCAGCCCAAAGCCTTGCCGAAAAAGGGTTTGCAGCCCACCAGCAAATTCAAGCCAGGCCCGCAGCAGGACGATGAGTATGACCCAGGAGAGGAAGCCATTGCCCCTCCCGAGCAGGTGAGCAAAGGCACACTGATGAAAAGGCTGGCACGCTTGTGCACGCCGAGGGAGGATGGATCCTTGAAGCTACCGGCCGATGTCATCGAGACTTACAAAAACCTCCGGACACGAGACGAAGTCTACCGAAGCTTCGAGAAATGCGGTTGCGACCCCGTCTGCCCTGCTCGTTTAAGATACGTTCTCGAAATACATTTTTTTTGCTGGGCTACAATTAGCCAGGTGCTGTTCTCCAAGAGAATCAACCGGAAGTATGAAGAGATCAACGAAAAATCCGTGGAGACAGAGTTCGAGTTCCTTACAGAGCAGGAGATGGAAGAGAAAGGCTGGAGCGAGTGTCTTAGATGACAACAATTAGATATGGACTGCATGCTCTAAACCCTAAACCCTGAACCCTTAACCCTAAACCCAAAACCACTACTGCTCTTTTGTCCTTAGCCAAGGAAGAAGATCAAGGGTGCCAAGAAAAGCTGTGAGAAACGGCCGGGCTGGAAGAGGAGATTCTAGTTGTTGTGTTTCGATATTGCAATGCACATAAGCTCAGCTGATGCTCTGTTGCAGAGGAAGTCTGAGTACTGCGATGACTACATGTACTGGGTGGCTGTGAGATTGAAAGGCTCGAACAAGTGCCATGGCTATAACTTATGTGTGGAGTCTGTCATATATTTGTAGCCCTGAACTTCCGCCCCACCTTCCTTTCCTGCCTCAGGAAGACCAAGAGGAACACGGTGGCAGAAATTTTGGAGGGCTACGACCAGGAGCCCATGCAGGAGCCAGACGAGGCCATGGAGGAGTTCCCCTTCAACCTCGATGGCGATGGGGGTGATGCTGGAAAGACTGGAGGCCTTCTGTTTTGTGGGTGTACTAGTGCTAGGGTTTAGGGCTTAGGGCTTAGGGTTGGGAAGGACCAAGTTGGCTCTCGGCCGAAACCCTACCCGTCTAATCCTGAAGCCTCGAACATAGGCACAATCCCCATTACTACCCTTAATTCCTGAGCCTCCAACAGAATGTACTAATGTTAAGGTTTACGGTTTAGGGCTTACGGTTTAGGGCTAAGGGGGTTGGGAAAGACTAAGTCGGCTTTTATTTTAGCAGAGGTCGAATCCCTCCAGCCCAGGCATAATCCTCATGACGACCCCTGGTACTCCAGAACCCAGGTTTAGGTGATTAGGAGATGAGGCGATCAGGGGTTTAGGGGTTTAGGGTTTAGGGTTTCGGGGTTCAAGGGTTCAGGGTTTTAGGGACTAGGGTTTAGGGGTTTAGGTTTCAGGGGTTTAGGGTTTAGGGGTTGGGGACAGGGGAATGGGCGATTAGGGGTTTAGGGGTTTAGGGTTTTAGTTTTTTGGGGTTCAAGGGTTCCCAAGCCGAGGCTGCAAGTCCACGCGGGGCCCTCTTCTGCTTCCTACTACTACTACTACTTCTACTACTACTACTACTTCTACTACTACTACTACTACTACTACTACTACTACTACTTGGAGGTTCATGGGCAGTGAAAGGACGGGTGGAAAGTCCCCTAATTTGGGTTATAAGTTATAACTATAGTTCCCTTACTTATATCTCTACTTTTCACTACCCATGAACCTCCAAGTACGACGACTATACTAAGTACTACTACTACTACTACTGCTGCTGCCACTGCTACCGCTACTGCTACTGCTGCTGTGATGCTTATGCTGTTTGAACACTACTACGATTCAGTCCTGAGGATTTGAACCCCGGAACCCTGAACCCTAAAGCCCTAAAACCCTTCTCTTCGGCTCAGTCCTGGGGATTTCAACCCCGGAGCCCTAAACCCTAAAGCCCGAAAACCCTTCTCTTCGGCTGCACCTGGGGATTTCAACCTCGGAGCCCTAAACCCTAAAGCCCTAAAACCCTTCTTTTGCTTCAGTCCTGAGGATTGGAACCCCGGAACCCCAAACCCTAAAGCCCTAAAGTCCTAAACGCCAGGAACCCTAAACCCTAAAGCCCTAAAACCCTAACCCCCAAACCCTAAAACTCTCTGAGGGCCCAGTCCTGATGTTGCTCTATTCAAGCCACAAAGCTAACCCCACAACAAAAGCCCTAAACCCAAAACCCTAAATGTTGCTCTCTTTCTGCGACAAAGCCAGAAAGCTAATCCCACAACAAAAGCCCCGAAACCTAAGACCTTTGATGCAAAAGGGTTATTTGTTTAGGGTTTGGGGGTCTCGGGTGATTAGATACTGATTTTTGGGTATAGGATGAGGGTTTCGCGAGTCCGGTGTCCGGACACCAAGATCACCACTAACTGCCCGGGATTGTTAATGAGACCCCGCGAATCTGAAAAAGCCGAAGCCCTCCTCTATACCCTCAACCCTACACCCCAAACCCTGTAGCCGGAACCCTAAACCATAGTGACCGCCCGGGTCCTCAGCTAGGTTGCAAATAGCCCCCCTAACCCTAAAACCCGAAGCCCTCGCCAATGCTTGCAGCCAGGAGATGAGTCGTCCGACGATGACAGCAGCGACGACGGCGAGGAGGCCAGCCGCATCTTGAAGAAGGTGAACTTTCCCGAGGTGGGTAAGAAACCTCAGGATTCGTGCATGCATGTTGCCACATGTCTGCAAAAGCGAAGCTCGAAGCTGGCCCCGGTGCTGTCAAAGCTTGAGAGTTTGGAGAAGCAGATGCCGCTCTCGACTTCGCAAAGCAAGTACCTCGCCTAACTAGCTAATGTCGTGTATGATTACATCAACCTGCCCTCCTTTGCCATCCCCAAATCCTAAGGTACAAAGACAGCTTGAAAACGATCGTGGACAAGCTCACTGACTTGGAGGACGAGCTGACGACCATATACAGCAACGGGGTTGCTGTTGGGTTCACGAAAGAGAGTCTCGGCAAACAACTGGGTGTGCCTTTTGTTGATGAGGGTGAGGTTTAGGTTTTAAAGATGCCATCAACCCAAAATCATTCCAAGGGACCAGAAGACGATGCGAGCCCGCTTCCAGGTGGCGAAGACGAGGCAACTCGGCGAGTAGCTAGAATGACACGTCACAGTTCTAGCCAAACCTTTCTTATGTATACCAATGCTAAGGGCCGTCGAGGCAGAGATGATCTTCGAGCGATCCAAGAATATCAAGCCGCCTGTCCCAAACCACCGAGCCCTTGAACCCTGAAATACTTGTTCGGATGTTGCCTGGCATTGGTGCTACTCAATATCATCTCTAGCATTCCTTGTCCTGCATTAAGGCTACCGGCGAATCCCGAGTCCGTCAAGCAGGAGCCAAAGGTGAAAGCTAAGCCGAAGCAAGTTGCCCAGAAGGCCAAGGCGGCAGCCAAGAAAAAAACGCAGGCTCGCGATGATGATGATGATGAGGAGGACGATGAGAAGCCGGCCAAAAGGGCCAGAAAGTAGGCTGCTAGCTTAGCTCAGCATGCAGTTGCCTGTGATGGTCTTAACACCCAAAACCCAAAACCCTGAGCCCTTGTCGTTCCTAAGCTTGAAAAAAGTAGCTGCATAGAGCCTGCTGAGCTGTGTGCCAAGACTGCTGACCGCTTCTTCCGAGTTGAAAAGATTGCACGAGGAAGTCAGAAGCCTCCAAGCTCATCCCCAGCCCAACCCCTAAACCCTTACACCCCAAATCCTAAAGCCCAACCCCCAAACCCCTCAACCCTAAACCCAAAGAACCCGGCATCCCATCTCACGCCAGGTTCCGATGATGAGAAGTTTGGCCGAGCTGCACAGTATGCTGAGATGCTTGGTGAGGGTGCCGGGGTCCTCGGTGGGATTTTCGAAGCTAGGATCTAGGGCTTTAAGGTTTGGGGTTTAGGGCTTTAGGGTTTAGGGTTTCGGGGTTCAAAGGTTCAGGGTTTTAGGGGTTAGGATTTAGGGATTAGGCGATTAGGGGTTTAGGTGTTTCTGGACTTTGAAGTAACCAGGGAGAAAAAAGTATAGACTTTTATTTTATACAGGTTCCTTTTCGAAACCGGTCCAATTTCAAGTATGGTACTCCAGAACCCAGGCAACCCAGGTTTAGGTGATTAGGAGATGAGGCGATCAGGGGTTTAGGGGTTTAGGGTTTAGGGTTTCGAGGTTCAAAGGTTCAGGGTTTTAGGGATTAGGGTTTAGGGGTTTAGGTTTCAGGGGTTTAGGGTTTAGGGGTTGGGGATTAGGGGAATGGGCGATTAGGGGTTTAGGGGTTTAGGGTTTTAGTGTTTTAGGGTTCAAGGGTTCCCAAGCCGAGGCTCCAAGTCCACGCGGGGCCGTCTTCTGCTTCCTACTACTAGTACTACTGCTGCTGCTGCTGCTGCTACTACTACTACTACTACTACTACTACTTGGAGGTTCATGGGCAGTGAAAGAACGTGTGGAAAGTCCCCTAATTTGAGTTATAAGTTATAACTATAGTTCCCTTACTTGTAACTCCACTTTTCACTACCCATGAACCTCCAAGTACGACGACTACTACTAAGTACTACTAAGTACTACTACTACTACTACTACTACTCCTGCTGCTGCTGCTGCTGCTGCTGCTGCTGCTTGCTACTTCTGCTACTGCTACTGCTACTGCTGCTGTGATGCTTATGCTGTTTGAACACTACTACGACAAGTACTGCTACTAGTTCGGCTTCAGTCCTGAGGAATTGAACCCCGGAGCCCTAAACCCTAAAGCCCTAAAACCCTTCTCTTCGGCTCAGTCCTGGGGATTTCAACCCCGGAGCCCTAAACCCTAAAGCCCTGAAGCCCCTGTCTTCGGCTGCAGTCCTGGGGATTTGAACCCCGGAGCCCTAAACCCTAAAGCCCTAAAATCCCTGTCTTCGGATTCAGCCCTGAGGATTTGAACCCCGGAACCCTAAACCCTAAAGCCCTAAAACCTTAAACCCCAAACCCTAAAACTCGACATCCTAGCTTTCAAGGGCCTACCTTCTCTGAGGACCCAGTCCTGATGTTGCTCTATTCAAGCGACAAAGCCAGAAAGCCAACCCCACAACAAAAGCCCTAAACCCAAAACCCTAAAACTCTACGTCCTAGCTTTCAAGGCCATACCTTCTTTGAGGACTCGTGTATGTGTGTGTGTGTGTCTTCGAGGAAGAACGGACCCCCCTAAACCCCTAAAGTCTTGAACCCTAAAGCCCTAAACCCTTGAACCCTAAAACCCTAAACCCCTAAGGCCCTGTCTTGCATCCAGGACTCTCGCAACCAGCCGGGAAACTCCACAAGACAGCAAGTCAACCCTCCAAATCTCTAAAGCCCTGAACCCTGAATCCTTAAATTCCACAACCACTGCAGGCCCGAGGGTCTGTAGCTCGAAGCAAGCCACAGGAAACACCAATCCCCAACCTAATTCGATCCCTAAAGCAACCCCAAATGCAACCAGTGGGTCCCAAGACCAATTGGATCTGCTTCGGCAAACCAGTCCCCGGTTAAGGGTTTAGGGTTTTAGGAAATAGGAAATCCTAAATAGTATCATCTTTCTATCTTTCTAGTCTGGATGGCATACTTAAGCCCGCACCATTAATTCAAAAGCTTCTGCTTTACAAATCGTTGTCGAAGAAACTACTCAGCTCTGCCGAGGCCACTGCCAAGGACACCAAGCGATGCATCAACCAGATGCAGAACCCGACCCAGCCGGAGGAGAAGCGGCGACAGGCCCCGAACGAGGAGAGAGATTGCCATAGGCTTTTTAATCGCTGGGGTTTATCCCTGCCTGTGCCAATAACCGAAAAGACTTTCGTTCTGGACGATAGAGAGAAAGCTGAGACTGCTTATATACGAGTCCAAGACTGGCTGCTGTATCTCTTGAAACGGAATCGTTCGTTGCTGGCTGGAGGCAACGACTCTTTGGAGTTCCAACTGGAGGCCTACTGGATGGCTTACAGGCAGACTCACAGCACCCATCCGGTGTTCGGTCGAGGGCTGGACCTCGGGACCACGATTCCATTGGCTTTTTATTCGGATGAAGGCAAGGGCCCGAAACGAGGCAACTTCGTGGTGGTCGCCATCGAGTCGCCGATTGGTTTAATGGACGTGGCCGATGACTTTACTTGCACTTGTCAAGAAGATGTGAAGAAAGCACCACAGCAGTTTGTTCCGGGCCAGCAAGCAGCCGGCCCGTACACGCCGATGGAGGAGGCCGCCTTGAAGCAGAGCACTACATGCAAAGGCCATTCTTACCTCACCAGGCATGTGCTGTTTGGACTTCCAGATTGGATTTATAAACATCACCCGGAAGTCTTGGAGAAGATGACACAGCAAGTGGCTGACGAGCTCACCACGCTTTTTTCTTCAGGCCTAGAGATAAATGGGAAGGTTTATACGGCTTGCCTTGTTGGAATCAAGGGTGATCTGAAACAGATCGCTGAGAAAATAGCTTATCTGAATCGATACTATGCCCGTTTGGGCCCGGTGAGCTACAACGGTGTCTGTGCACATTGTATGGCGGGTACGAGCCCAACCCTTCCTTTTGATGAGCTTTCGCATGAGCCATCCTGGGCTTCGACACTTCATCAGCAGCGACCTTGGGCCTCAACACCTGCTTTGTGCACTGTCCCGCACGACGATGATGCACCGGAAAGAGTTCTGAAATATGACATGTTTCATCTTTACAAAGTTGGCCTTGGGCGAGATATTTGTGGGTCCCTGGTTTTATTGGCTCGCCTTGGATATTATGATGATCCAAATGGCGGAGATGAGACAAATCTCCGGGCGAGGCTCATCCGGTGCTTCCAACATTTCAGGCTCTGGCGGCTGGCGGCTGGGAAATCTGCAGCAGTGCGGTATTTCTCGGCATCGCTCTTCAATCTGAAGAGGCTTTCCGACTTTGCATGGTCCAACACGAAAGGGTCGGACACCATGCTTTTGTTGGAATATCTCAGCTTCTATCTCACGATCCTGCTGAGAAGACCGAACTTGCCGGCTGCACATGCTGTTATGTTTCGTGTACTGAAGAAGACGATCGGGGAGTCCCAGAAGGCCTTCAATCTCATGTACAAACATGGACTTTGGCTACGGAGGACATGTGCACAGAACCTGTACTTGCGACTGATGTCGGTGCTTTCGGGATACCAGCATCTCGCTCAGCATGCCCTGACGATGGGCATGACTTTCTTTGCATTGAAGCCCAAGTACCATGCCATCCATCATGTGGCATATGAACTCCGGGTAGCATTGCTGACCGAGGCAAAGCTGATCCCCAACCCTATCACCTGGAACTGTGAAATGGGTGGGGACCTCCTCGGCCGAATTTGTGCTTTGTCGCTCAAGGTATCGGTCACGACGATCAACAAGAGGGTGCTGCAAAGGCACTTTCTGAAGAAGGCTGCCCTAATCCGGAGGCATCGACAGGATCGATCCAAGCGAAAGATGCGGCTCTGAATTGCTCCACGGGCTCTAAGTATACCATCCCTTATAAGTACAACAGTATAAGTTTAGGGTCTGGGCATAATAAGTACAGGAGGCCAAAGGCCCAAGGAGCACCAGGGCTGCATCGCAGACTCCAGCAGCAGCTCGGCACCGAATGGCCGCCAAAAGATGAAGGTTCGAGTGCCGGGGGGGTTGGGGTTTAGGGGAGCTTGAGGTTCAGGGCTTCAGGGTTCTCTGACGAAGCACTGGGCTCTGGAGGTTTAGGGTCCTTAAGGCTTAAAGTTCAGGGCTTCAGGGTTCTCTGAAAGCAAAGTAGGTTGAACAGCTCTGAGCCACAACACTTCCCCAACATTGAAACCTCCGCCTTTCGACCCCACCCAAGCAGCCTCAAGCTCGAATTCCCAGGTCTTCGTCACAACACCACTTCCCCTAGACCCTAAACCCTGAACCCTAAACCCTTTTTCAGGGCTTCAGGGCTTCAGTTTTTGGCTAAGAGGCTAAGACTTCATGCTCTTGTTGTCCAGAGTGTATGTATTCTTGTCTTAACATCATGAGTCTAATGTCTCTGGTGGCGTTTTTGTTTCTGTGTCGGCGCTTTTGATTATTGTCGGCGGTTTTGGGATTGGGCGGCGAAAATAATCGCCGATTCTCTTGGCGGCGAAAATAAACGCCGACGGATTCTCTAGGTATGAACCACGGGAACTTCCGAAACTCTGAACT